GCGCAATAATCATACACATCAATGCCACCGGATAATAGATCAGCCTCACTATGTGAACGATGACCGTAGTGTTTTCCATTGGGTATGTAGCCATGATGATGATGATGATGATGATGATTGTTTATGTGTGTACCGACTGCTGCTATACTCGCACGACTATTGGCTTGTCGCAGAGCTGATAAAGGCACTCCTTGTGCTCTTGATTCAGGACGTGATATAGGTATACCGCCAATGGTGCGAAAATCAGACTCACTGCGATATTTTCTATAAAGACATTAAAAAAACTAATATTAACATCTCGGATAGCGATGAAATCAATTTATAAATATTTTACCTTAAATTTGGTGGGCCACGACTGCGGGTAGTTTCGTTATCGCTGCTATCATAACCTGAAGATCCAGCTGCTGGTCCACCAGAACTGTCGCGGAAGCCGCGATTAATACGGCCGCCGCCACGTAAGCCGCCAGGACCCGGTCCAGGGCGATGGGAACGCTGAGAACCGGCATTTGGTGGGAAAACACGCGGTAAACCAAATTTCAGGTAGGTGTACATATTAGAGCCCAAAGGTGATCTGCAAGAACAAATATATGTTAGATAGATGACAACTTCCTTTTGCGATTTTCGTCGTTCACTTGTACTCACTTGGGACCGTAACGCGGATGATTTAATATTGATTGCACAGTCGTATCGCGTAATTGAAAATTTCCATATGGCAGAGGCGATTTCTCCGACGATCCTAATGCAGAATCGGTAAAATCTGAATTAAGATTTTGTCTGCATGCGTTAAGTGTGTGCGTTTGCGCGAATTAACGAAAGGGAAATGAACATAAAATTTAACAGAAAATTGCTAATAATTAAACGGATGCGGTGGTAAAAATTTTTTATGTAAAAGTAAATTTTGAAGTTAAACAACAATTACGTCAGGTGCGGTCAGTCAAATCAATCAGTGGTAGCCTATAGTTACTTCCGCACATTAATAACAAATCAAGCATGATTTTAAGAAACAACAAAAAAAAAAAATCATAAAAAAAAAACAAAAAGC